TGGGGCATCCTAGGGGAACCATTCTGTTAGATCTCTAGTTGATATATACCTGCCTCTAATACTAAAATTTGTGCAGATCACTAGACATGTTTATGTTGAAATATTGGATACTTCTCTAGTCACTATGCAATGTCATTATTACCGATATATTGTTCCCTTCATGCACAACAAAAATAAAGAATAAAAAAAAAACACCAGTGCAGTAATATGCATTTGGATATTGGTGGAAACTGAATTATACTAAGTAACCAGTAGGGGTCAGGACAGCATCACACAGAGCATCTCAGCGTGGCAATTTTTGCCTAGGTTTTTGCCAATCAGATTTCAGTTGGCTACAATTAGTTTAGTAAATAATTCAAAGATTTACATAAAGCTGAAAAGCCAAAACAGTGGAGATTTTTTTTCACTATGTAGTGAATTAAAAATGGAGTGCAAATATAGTCTAAAATAGCAAAGTGCCACTGGACAAAATGGCTCTCCAAAGACCCAGATAACAAGCAGGAGGGTGACAACCTGGACTAGAGGTCAAATACCTGGCAGGGGTGCTAACCAGTCTGGAAATGGGGGCTGTGGCTCGGGCGGGGGGGGAGAGTGACAGGGTGGGATGGCAGCCCTAAAGAGGGTGCTTTTTAGGTGTACTCTCTACACCTTTCTGGCCACAAACTCACTCTTCCTTCCTACTCCTCTCTGGTGTACTGCCATGACCAAAGGGGTTATAATGTCAAGGCTGGACATTAAAACTTGAATCGTAAAAAACAGAAAAAACCTGTGATAAGGAAATAGGGCCAAAAACGGGGACTTCCTAAACGCTTTGGAAAAACATGTCACAGTCTATGTCAACACTTCTTGATCACTACATTTATTTTTTAGTAAACGTGTCTTTTTTTATTCTTTATTTTTGGTGCGCACAAAAGTAACAATACGCCTTGGTGCGCCACAACAGCGACATCAGGGTACATTAGTGAACATTTGCATTACAGGTTGTGGTAATCGATCGTCAGGCACATTTTTTAGTTAGAAATAACAGAATTGCAATAGTTTAGGTGCTCGATTAGCGTAAACATTTGAGTGTTCAATGCAATTGTAAATTATAAACACGTTTAGTTCAGTAGTTTAAGATTAGTGTTCATGTTGAGTGTCATCGTTTCAGTTTCTCGATATTGGTTTGGTTATGCTTATCTATGCTTAAGAGAGGGACATGCATTTTATACAGTGACATCTGGTCTAAATAATCATAACATATAATAGGCTAGACTGCAAGTTTACATTTCAAGTTATGCTAGATTATGCCGTGCAGCTCGGATAGGAAAATGCAGTTCTACTTGTGTTACTTGCATTATGGTAGGTGTTTGTGTTGCCTGTCAGGAAGAACTTGCGTATGCTGGGCTATAGTGCCCCTTTTGTGTAGGTGTTGGATCACTGCGTTTTGGCGAGTGTCTGTTCTAGGGAGTTAAAGGGCCACGGGTATCAGCTCGTGCAGTGTGTGGAGCCGCAGTACCTGTTGGCAGTGAGGTGCGATTAGTTCGGCGCAGGTATGTGTGCCATCGCGTGGGTGCCTGTGTGTGCTTAGTGTGTGTCTGTTCTGTGTTGTGGTGCATTGGTGATTCTGTGTATGTAGGCAGGTAAGTGGGGTCTTATTGGGGTAGTCCATCAGGTTGTGCTCGGTTGCTGGTCCCCGCTCATCCGATACCCCGGCTTGGAGCCTGGCTTGAGCGATTAAGTGTCCGCAGGGTTCAGTGTTCCGGTAGCTTGTCCTGGTGTCCTCGGGTAATAAATTAGTCCCGCTCCCGGAGTGTGGAGTGATGTGCCCTCACAAAAGAGGTATGGGTCCCCTTTCATGGGTGGTAGTAGGGTGTCCAGGTGTGTTGGTTCAGACTATGGCGGTGACTTCTTCTTGTCTGTAGCTTTTGTGCCAGGTACCTCTTTCGGGTGTAATGTAGCCTGAGCAGGCCCCCCATGTACAGCAGTGAGTCTGCGTTAGAAAGATAGTCCAGTGGGGTTTCACCCTTTTTGTGCCCCATTTTGCTCTGCTTGTTGTTAGTTGTTTGCACCTGAGTCTGCGCATTGTTTTCAGCCGGCCATGTCCTGGGGCAAGCAGTCATGATGGTCGGTTGGTGTTGGATGGGCTCTCCCGTGGTCAGCTTGTTCGTGCTTGCGGGTCACGCACATGTCTGACGTGCGGCGGCCATCTTGAGGGGCCCTGCCCGTTAAGCCTTATGAAGCGGGGCAGATTTGGGCAAAGATTATAACCCCCCCGGTCCAGAGGGGGGAGGGAGGTAAGCGAGACGCCGGCTGGAGACCCGGGAGAGCGGCCTTCTCTTCCCGGCTCAAGCTCCAATGAGCTTCGGGCCCTGTCGGGTTACTTTGGATGCCAGTCAGGGTCATGAGAGATATCCCTGTGTGCCCCAGCAGCCGAAGGGACTATGGTTGCTTTTGGCTCCTAGTTGGCTCTGATTTTCAGGCCCCGAAGCGGGAGCTCAGACAGAGCACGTCTGATCCCGTCGGCGGTCTGGCCCCGCCCCCCCAACATGTGTCTTTTTTACATATATTAAACAGTAGTTTATTATGTTAATGTTGTATTCCTTAACAGAGTGTGTCCTTTTGCTATACTCTTAACCAGTCAGTCCATGATACACTGTATTTGTATGCTCTCGGTTAGGGGTACTTTGAAACCTTTTGAGATTCAGGCCAACCTGAGGAGAACACAGACTGTGTTATGTATGATTTTTTTTATTTTTTTTTCTGCTTAATAAACCCCTATTGAATAAAAAAAAAAAATTAAAATAAAATAGCAATGTGGTGTCTATCACAAGGATTTTATGGGAGATTTTTTTCCCTCTAAAGCAAACGCTTGTTGCCTAAATTTTTAAATTAAGTTTTCAATTCTCTACAATTCAATGTTTAGTAAATAAATTTACTAATCAAATTTTTTTCCTATATCATGGTATCATTAAAAAAGCTAGAAAAAAAAAATTATAATATATATATATATATATATATATATTGTGGGTTGTGCTGTGGGGGGGGGGGTGGTGGTAAAGATACATAAAAAAAAAAATTGAAGAATCTTTATCCCTTCTTCTTAACTTTGGTGAAGGAGGGGACGATGACACATTCAGCCCTGGTGGCCCGGTGGTGGAAAGTATGTGCCCTGCTGTAGCTCTCCTGTCCTCACGCGCAATGCTGTGTGGAGCATTGCCATGGTAACACGCGGCAACGCTCCACACCGATTGCTCGCGGGAGGACAGGAGAGCTGCTTCCCAGATCCCTCCCCCTGCCTCCAGGTCCTGCCGACACGAAAGCAGAGTAGGCGCCTATGCCCTGTGTGGGGCTGGATAATGTTTTTAGCACCATCAGGTCAGGAATACGTTTGTGTTTCTGACCCTATAATGTTACTTTAAATAGAGGAGAGGGAGTGGAGATATATTATCAGCAAACAACTCTAGAGCATGCAGGCACCTATGCCCTATGTGGGCAAGATGCTATGTCCATTTGTGCATTTAAATGGTTGTTACCCATACTGCCCCGGAGCAACCACCAAGGTTCCAACACCCCAGGGGAGCCATGGGGCAGTGTGTGGAACATAGCAGGCACAAGGTGTCTACTGGGGGGGAGGCGGGGGCAAGTTGGAGGGCAGCCAGGACTCGCCTTTCTTACCCGGCATGCCGCAACCCACATGGATCGACAGCAGGGGTCGGCGAATGAGAAGCAAGTATCTTATGCTAGCGGCATGCCGCCGATGAGTGTAAAGCCAGCTGGCAGTGGTGGAAGCTGGGTATGTTAACCACTTCTGGGACACTGAGGACCATGTGGCATCCGGTGCATGAGTGCAGCACAATCAAGCCTCCCAGCACGCTGTGACAACTTATCTTCTTCTCAGAGATGGGTTGGACTATGGCCTCTCTCTCATCAGGCAGTAAGACTAGGTATATTAGCCTTTGTGATTCCCCATCATCTGGTATTTACATGTAAAGGTTTGTATAGTAAGTTTAAAATCCCTAATTAGATGCAGAAGAGATAAATCAAAAAGTATTGGAGCACTGTCAGGTACAATGTCAATTCCAGCTAAATGAAATCTGTGTGTGAGGTTGTTATGTAAGTAATGAAGGTCACAGCAAGAAAAAGAACGTGGGTGAGCATAAAAAGAGTAATTCCTACCAAGTGAATGAAGATGTCCCCAGAGTCAATTAACTGTAGTTTTTCAATTATAAAAATCAGCCCAGATACAAGGGTTGCGATCTAATCCAACAGCAGGTCAGGATCCACATTAAATACACCCCATCTCCAATAAAAAAGGCTACCAAGCATACAAACGAGGGTTGGGAGCAATTATCAGATGTTGACGGTACGATCATAGAGGGAACCCAGTAGATTTATGATATTAGTGAAGCCCCTATCTAAAGAGGAAAATGACCATCCCATCTGCAAAAAAAATAAAATAAAAATAGCCAAACTGTAAAATTTCTCTAAGTCAGCTATGCTTCCATTTCAGAAAACTCTGGTCTTACATTTGAAATTCACCTACATCAAACCCAGTGCTATACTGTAAAATATTAGAAATCACAAGTAGTAATTACCAATAAAAAAAACCAAAAACCTATGTGGTATGAGGGCTGCCAGCGCTACCTGGACTTAATGCTGATGGACAACACATGTAAAGTGCTGCCCCATGACATGTAGATTTCAATGTGCTGACAGAACCTAATAAACTAATAGCTCGGTGCTACGGTGCAGCACTTTTCATGAACTGCCCATCAGCATGCGTTGGTGATACTTGTGCAGGTGTTTCTGGTAGCATTCTCTGGAATTCCATTTGGAATGCTGACCTTAAAATACAAACTCCCTTTCTTCTAACACATTATGGTCGTTATAGGGTCCTTGTGGAATCGTATCTCACTGATTAATTGTAAATAAAATACACATGTTTCCTAACGGCCCCCTCTCCGCCCTGCGCGGTATTTAAGGGCGATCTATTCTAGTAGGTATTATCATATGTTTCTGTCGCTATGGCTAGTGAAGCACCGGCAACTACTCGCCAGTACCAGTTTGTGGTCTTTGGGGCTTCCGGTTTTACCGGGCGCTATGTGGTGGAAGAGCTGGCTCGGGTGATGAGCGAGGGAGAGGCCAAAACCCCCAAGCTCCGCTGGGCAGTGGCAGGAAGGAGCCAGGTCAAGCTGGAAGAAATCGTGGCACGGTTGGCCCGCAAAATCGGTGAGTTGTAGGGTGGGACACCGCGCACTGTCAGCAATGTGGTTGTTGGGGGAGGTACATAACTTGACAGGCCAGCTCTAGAAACCGTACTGATCCCACAAACTTCCTAGGTTCCATTCAGTGGGAGTTGGACTTGCAGAGAACGGAGTTCAACTTGCTAAACTAGGAATCTTCTGGCATTCCAAACTCCATTATAAATGGTTAAGGTGGGTGGGGAGATACTGTAGCCAACGCTACTACTAGTCTTACTACTCTGGGCTAAAAACTAAAACTGACCTCCGTAAACAAACTTGCATAGCAAAACGAAGGCTGGATACTTTGCGACTATACCGGAGTTGCAGAATCTTTCCAGTTTTTACATTGGGTGTATATGGTTGGTTTGCCTAGATAGATGAGGTAACTGTTCGATCTATCTGGCTATCTATATACTCTATCCTACAATGGGCATGATGTGTCTAGTTATAGTCTGCCCTCTGGGCAATGTGAAAATGGATTGTATGCCTGAAGGTAAAATAGTGGAGATATCTCTTTGTAGCTGATGCCTAACGTGTGGTGAATAACCTTAAAGTGGTATGAATGTTGCAGTTTTGCATTTATGCTTAATCACTATTGCACATCAATGTGATATGAGAACCACATAGTGCTGGGGCCTGGGGCCTTGCAAGGGCTGCAGCAAGCTGCCTTTTAGTCTTTTTCCATGGGGGAAGTTAATAAATCATGCATTGCTATAACCCAACAACATTCCTGTGTTTCGTTAATACCAGATTAAAGGACCAATACCAAATGTACTAAAGAGTCAATATTCCTTACACGGACACTTCAAGCACTAAAGCATGCTGTTATGGTGCCATGGTACCCTGAATGCAATACCTCTTGGTAACAGTTTGACCTTTTACCTATATCCTTTAGCTCCTGCTAGGAACTTCTATTAACTCTTATTGGTTGAACCCTACCACTCATAGCCCGCTCACTGCGGGGAGCAGTATTCATTGGACCACAGGAAAAGTCTAATGACTAATGTTAATTTTAAGGGTAACTTTGGTAGACAGTACAAACACCTGCCAAGGTTGCTTAACATGGACTAATCTAATACGAATTTAAAGGAAGACTTTAAGCGCAAAAACAAACTTCGATTAACAAAGTGATATATTAGTGTACTGCTTGTGGCCCTGAAGACTTGCTGCCATTCAGGAGTACATGCCTCCAACTACTGACTCTTAGCCCTTCCTTAACAACTTCTAACTTCCTTTATTGCATTTCTATAACTTCTAAAAGTGCCTACAAACTCTACAGCACTGTACAATTGCAAGGGGTGAGAAGAAACTGCAACATGCACAAACAATACAAAGGGTAAAGAGGGCCCTGGCAACAAGCAGTACTGTAGCCATTAAAGCTCTTGTACAACATGGCACATTAGATTACAATCCAATGTAGAGCTCTCGATCTCCTAACTTCTGGCTAATGTCTACAGCAGTACTGTTGTAAAAATGTTGGCTGTATGCAGCCCTAGCAACACATTACCTAGCTGAGACTCATAAACCATGATTGAACTTCCAAATGGCTGTTAGTTGAACAGTTGGACTGCGGGGGCATGGCCTACCACCAGGTTAGGCAGCCTTTGGCACTCCAGATATTGCCACCCCTGATGCTTTGGGAATAAAATCAGTGTTCATGCTCTAACAACCTAAAATACAGCTATAAATGGTTTGCTGCACTATGACACCTGGTGTAGTCAATCAGTTACACTGACAAAGGCCATTTGGCTATTAACTAACAAATCTTGGCTAGCTTACAGGTAGACTCCCACCATTCTAGCTGTCCAGTAGCTCATGCAAAGCAGTCTCTTATCTGTCAACATCTACTGGTGCAGTTTTGTTTAAAACCAAACACCGCTCTCATGCCTTTTTTTTTTTTTGTCCAGTTTAGGGGAATGTTAATGTACTGAATGAAAAATTGAAATTTTGACTAAATTCTGCTGGTTCCTTGCTTGTAACATTGACATCCTGGAACTGTTCTGGCTGCCTAATGTGAATTCTGTGCATATCTCACATCTGCATGCTGCCGACAAACCTAGAACTTCCCCTTGTAGGCGCCACGCCCTCTCCTTTCTTCCATCCCACTGTGCTGCCACCTTGCTCCCCATCTATTTTTTTTTTTTTTAATACAAAATCCCTTCATAACATCATAGGTCAGATTGCACATACTCTGAGCCGGCAACAGAACAGTCACAAGTTTCTCTACAAGAATCTTGTGACTGGACCTCAGGAGTGCCAACTGAGGTCATGACAGTGTGGAAGATCAGTGCCAGGAACTCTGGCCAGCTGTTGTTTAAGGTAAGTTAGAAAAACTCTAACAGTGGGAGGTCCTGTTATGCCACATAGGTCATTGTAAAAGGGAACATATTCTTGCTATTGGGGTTGGAATAAAAATTTCAGTTTAATTTACAAGGTACAGTGTTTGCTTTGTGGGTTTTCTGGTTTTTTTTTTTTTTTTGAGTGTGCAATGCTGCTTTTATAGATCTGGTCATTGACCTCCAAATAACTGAGAATAAAACTGCATCCTCGTATTTATGAGTAATACACGAATAGCCATAGAATACCTTTTCTAACTGTTTGTGGGGTTGGGGTGTTTTTTTTAACTGTTTTCCTCTCTTTAGGAAAACCACATCTTAAATCAGAGATTGGCATTATAATCTGTGATGTTGATGATTACGCCACACTCACCAGAATGTGTAAAAAGGCTGCCATAGTCCTGAACTGTGTCGGACCTGTAAGTATACATCCGGGGGGGACGATGGGGACGACCCAAACTTCTATGGGTGGCATGGTAGTTCCTTGCCTACAGCTCACTAAATCTAGCAATAAGGGGATGTCAGTATTGCCTTTATAAGAGTACAGTGTACTTGCTCCTGTCATCTTATGACCATACAAAGCAATTGTACATTATAACTGACTCAATATGGTATGTGGCTATGAATGCCCTCTTACATTACAGCTGCCAACACCCATTGTGGGTTGAAAGATTTGGCATTCTTCATATTTGTTAATCTAGCATAGCTCAGTGTGCCTGGTGCTATCCACTAGATGAATACTAGTGTTGCTACAGATCGGACAGGGGAAAAACTGACAGTTTCTGGAATTGGCACACTTGCACTCTGAAGTTGCTTCATCATGGCCACTGAGTCCACCTCTCAACTTTAAGAATGATTGCATGTAAACCACTTCGCTATTCAAATAGAACTTGTGCATGGGTACTAGTTCTTGTAGTCTTAACGTAAGCTTGTCTTTTTCTTTCTCCTAATTTACAGTACACTTTATATGGTGAGCCTGTGATAAAGGCTTGTATTGAGAACGGAGCAAACTATCTTGATCTTTGTGGAGAACCTCAGGTATGTTACAGATTAAAGGGTTCTGTGTAATGTTTAAGATGGATGGCTGAGGGTCACCCCACAACTCAGTTTAATGGTGTTTGCCAACTTCACAACTAGCCTCCCTGTACATATTTTCATGACTAACAGATCTGTCCATGATGGTTGAAGCTAGCTCTGGGCAGTGAGTTTTGGATAACTGCTCCTGGGAGGTGGGGTTCCTCAAATGTGGTATGAAATGCAATAGGGGAGACATAGCAAACTTTGCTTCAGGAGAGATGCTAGATGTAAGATCTGTTCTGAAAGATGGTGCAGATTACTAAAACATGTGGGGCAGACATGCCCACCTTGACAGTCATCAAGCTAGTTAACACTCCCTTGCCCCAGGCCAGTAGTTGGGATAAAGGCTTGCTTTAGATGTAATATTAAACTCCTATGGTTACTAATGTTAATGGGCACACAGGCTGCTTTAGGCTACTCTGCTATTGCCTTTAGTTATAACCTACTCAATCTACCCTTTAACTTGATCTGTAATGGATTGTTCTTGAATTTGACCTGTGGATCTCATGGTCCCATGTAACACTCTAATAATGCATTGGTTATTTTCCTAATCAAATTATCTTTTAAGTGAATAACTCCTATAAAATAGAACACAGGAGCATCTGACCCACACTCCTGTCTGTACTATTTTATCCCAATAGTGAAGTTTGGAGAACAATACTAAAACCGTATCAGTTTCTGGAGGGACCAAGATATCTCCAAAAAATGATAAATCTTTAAGCATTCACCATAGTGACATTCATGGAATCGCCTGACTGACTTGCTACTTTCAGTCAACTTGAATCCAGCTGGAACTCAAATTATGATCTCTAACACTTTCTGATAATATGCAATCCACTTATTAAAAAATAAAATAAAAAATCTTGTCCTTCAATTAACTTCTAAACCAAATCCTCAGCCATATATTTTAGCTAGTAACTTGAGACTTGCAAAGTGGTGGTGTCATGTATTACAGTGAACTATCCATTGACTGACTGTGTTCTATCTTAGTTCCTAGAAGAAATGTACCTAAAATATGACAAGAAGGCAGCTGAAAAGGGAGTATATATTGTTGGCAGTGCCGGTTAACAAGCAGGGAGGGGGGGACAAAAAAAAATTAAAATAATTAAAAAAATAATAATATTAAAATAAAAAATAATAAAAATGCCCTCCCTCCACACAGTTCACACACAATACACAAACACACACTCTGCATTATATACACACTCTGCATTATATACACACTCTGCATTATATACACACTCTGCATTATAAACACAGAGTCTGCGTATATAATGCAGAGTATGTGTGTGTATATAATGCAGAATGTGTGTTTGTATGAGTGTGTGTGTGTGTATATAATTATAAAAATCACAGAATTTCATAGCCCCAAGTTTTACCCTCGACTTATCCACGAGGCATAGCATATTTCACAATTGTTGGTCACAAAACTGCACTCGACTTATACATGAGAGCGACTTATACACGAGTATATACGGTAACCACTAAGAAAGCATATAGATCAGGACCACAAACTGTATGCATACCTCTGGTTTTGCAGAAATAGTTCAACTGTAAACTAGCTCCATGAATTCAGTCAGAATGTAGCACTAAAATATGCAGACTAATTCACTTAATGGGTGTCTAGTGCTGCATTTCGTACTGGGGTGCATTGATATGCCTGTCTCAACAAACTGAGGACCCACTTATGACTGAGTCTTTACTCTACAATAGGTCAGTGGTTGCCAACCTGTCTGACCATACCTGTGCAGTTCATACTGTGATCAGGCTTTCCCACAGTCTACATCCATAAGACTTATGGGAAATACTTAACACATGTATTCTACACTTTATCTTAAAGGATAACTACTGGTGTCTTCCCTCCATGTATAGTCAAACAGTCTTAGAAATGTTTGACTACTGACCAAGCAAAGAGCACTAGTGGGAACATTTGCTTGGTAACTTCCTCCTAATCCCTGCACTAACCTAGCTTACCAGCTGACTTCACTCCGCAAACAAGCTACATCCTACACTCTAGGGCAGTGATGGCTAACCTTGACTTCATAAATGGTTTCTGGACTACATTTCCCACAATGCTCAGCTAGCTTTTAGTCTAAAAGCTAGCTGAGCATCATGGGAAATGTTCAGAAACCATTTATTCTGTCAAGGTTGGTTAATGGTATACCTATGAAAAAAGCCTAATTGCTATTTTTTTGTAAGCTACAATGACCTTTCTAGTTCAGATGTAGTTAAACTGAGATACAAGAGAAAGCAGAATGGAGATATATAATTTGTTTTAACCCTGTAAATCAAACCACCTCCTATAAACTAGAGCACTAAATATCCCTTGATGGAAGGCTTTGGATAACACTGCTCTACAACCAGTGGCAATTCTTCAATGTTTATTTCACTTTGTTCCTTTCTAGGTACTTTGACTGCAGTTGAAAGCTTCTTCTATAATGTGCCAGAGTCGGTGAGTTATGGTTTCATTACTCCAGGGTAACATCAAATCGGCTTATTTCAGGAATAAGACTAAATACTCTAGTTTCTTTACTTAAAGAATTTCCACTTTCAGTAGTCCTAAAGTATTGTGAAATCTCCCAAGACAAAAGCCAGTTCTGATGAGCAGAAAAACTTGTAGCATGGCCTATAAAGGGTCACTTCAGCACCACATAGCTTAACAAGCTTGTATGTGTTCCTCCTTCACTTTGCTGTAGTCTGCACATGAAGGTAATTGTAGCAGTCAGTGGCTCAGGCCAATTCTGTGAACCTTGTTAACAGGGCTCTTTAATGGCATCTGTTGTATTCCCTTAGACCAGAGTAAGACCATCTGGAGTGGCCTACTGGTGATTAATTGCATGACCATTACTATAAACTGCAGACTTTTTTCATACCATAAATCTGACTATGCCTACTAACATTCTCTAAACTTATATGCACTAGGTGATCTATCATAATGGGTCATGGAAATCCTTTGTTCATGGAATTGGGTACCAGAATAGTCTTAAGAAGATCAAAAATCAAATGTCCCACAAACCCCTTCCTGTCTTTTGTAAAACATTAAAGAGGTCAGTGACTTTTGTACTTTTTGGGGGGAGATGGGGAGTTAAAATGCCAGTGAAACCTATACCTCATGAGGTGGGTGGGTGAGGGACCATGACATTAACTTTAGCAACCCACAGTTGTAAGCTTGCCTGCTCTGACTAGATCACTTAGATGCTGCCCTGGAACTTGATTTATATCAAGTTTATGAAAAGCATTTTAAAGTTCAAAAGCCTGGGCTGTTCAGTACTGTTAACGACAGGTGAGCTTGACTGCCTGGAAAAATGTGTGCAGAGTTTCAGCTGAAATATGGACAAACCACACAACTCATTACAAACTGACAGCTTATGTAGTACATCTCAGACTGGGTTGGAAGTAAAAATGTCGAGGATGTCCTTAAGGTGAGTCCCTAGGCACTACCAAAGCTGATTATGAACTGCTGCAAGGAACACAATGATCAAACCCTTGCTTAAACCACTCAAAGGAATAACTCATAAGTTGATAAGGGGCTCCAGTTTGAAATAATTAAATGATTACATCAAGGAAGATCAAACCTTTTCAAACTGTCTTAGTGTACTTCATTGGTAACAATCTCAACACTAAAACTGGTGTCCAAAGAAAATTCCATCCAAAATTGGATGGGTATAAATGTACATCATGTTAAACCTCAGGGTACTTTGCTCTACTTGGTGTCTATGTAATTTTATACAACTTATCTTCCAGGGATCCAGGACTATATGCAATTCCTCTCTTGGGAGCAGATACCTCTGTGGTTACAAGGACCCAACGATACCTGTATGAACATCTTCAGGAATCACCAGTAAGTTTGGCATTCCAAGGTACAAATTAAACTATGTAGAGTAATGGACATTTAGCTGAATGTCTGCTTCTGTGGTGCATGCTCTACTCCTACTATCAACCTGTATAGAGCATATTTTTTCCAGTCTGTGAATCTTATCACTTAAGTACTTGCATTGCTTCAGCTTGAAACACTGCACACATGACAGATGGCCTGTAACTGTTGCACAGTATTGACATTAGGCAGTATGTATCGATCAGCATACTAGTAACCTTCACTGCTTCATGGTTTTTCTGCTGACACAGGCAGCTCTCCCTCTTCCCTGTCAACCCCTTTCCTTTCCCACCTTGCAAGCTTGGAGTGCACATGTATGATCTGACCCAGTTAAATGGGCTATTTATACTAGTCACTATGCCTCTGACATGTGAGCCACATGTTGATCCAATCAGACAGGAGCATGCTGGGAGCTTCACACTGCACTGGATTTTTATTTTTAATGGGAGCTTTAAAGAATCCCAACAGGGAATGATTCAGCCATTAAAAGGTTTTGGAAACAATTAAAGGAAATGGCAGTTTAAGTGATTGGATGGCACCAATCTAGTTTGTGTGGGTTTTTTTTTTTTTTTTAATCTATGGAAGCTTGGGAAAGCTAAGGAATGACTGTTGCTCAGTGGGGAACCTGTAGCACACCTTTAATGTTCTATGGGTATTAAACATTATTGCTCTCTCATCCATTACTAAAGTTCTCTCCAACACAGTTGAAACGCCTTCAAGTGGCTGAGCAGCCAGACTTCTGCCATAAAGCCACTAATTTATAATGAATATGACCCTCAGACTGGAATTCATGGTTTTTCCTCAGATTGCCTAGCATGGTATAACAAATCTATAGTCTATACTAGGTAACTGGGCAAAAAGGCATGCTTTCTCAGCTCATGGGCATGCCTACAGTACCACTGCCTGATTACACCATTTAATCACAAGCCAAACAAATGTAAGCATGAAAGTTTACATTCTCCATGTAATCTTGCAATGGCCTCTTGTTCAAATGGCTAGTTGTCCTAAAAGTTCTGGCACTGTACTTTGCAATACCTCTAAAGATGTAACCACTTGGCTGTATATAAACATCCCCCAAAGACTCTCTTCTAACCTTAATAGTCTTGTGGCTGTAGTCTCATCCTCCCTCACCCCACCATAAGATACTCAAAGTGTTTGGTGTCATCACAGGTCAGAAGCACTCACTACCCCTCCATATACCAAACTATATGCTTAAGGGCTCTCATGAACCTGAAACTTGTGGTAGTCACTTAGAGGATTCTAGCCTAAATCTCATGTCGACATAGCTGTGCCTTTTCTTCTTGGCTCAAATTGGTAAGCCAGGAGATTCATCAGTCTTTAAGGCCCTCTAGTCAGATGCAGATTACCTGCCAGACATGCTGGTTATAAAGTGCAGTGTACATTCATACTCCCTTTGGGACCCTGATCTGCAAACTGGTCAGAAGCTCATGTTTGTTCCTGAAACATGAGCCAACATGGCTAGAAGTACCAAAGGTAAGCAAGCTTGGACACCATGTACCGTATATTGCAAAAATACAGAGCCTATGATCTTATGGTCTGTGGAATGTTGGTGCTTTATAAATGCAAACCTCTTTGCTCCATGCACTATGGAAACTCCAGCCTTGTACAAACCTAAGACTGCTTGGCTCCTAGATACCTACATCTCTTACTAAACTGATACTTGTATATTTAACTTGGCCTAAAGTGCTGACACAATATGTTGTCCTGTTTCAAAAACAGATACAGTATCAATCTTATTTTGGACCCAATAAGAATATTTCTTGCAACTTCAAATACCTGGCTACATTTAAGCACAATCAGGCTATGGTAAAAGTTTACCTAGCACTTCTGGGAATCCATTACAACTCTCTGGTGGTTAAACACCATTTACAAGAGTCTAGTCACTATATAGTCAACTATAACTAGTCCTTTTTTTATTTTTTCTCCTAATCTTGCAATGGCAAAATATACAATCTTTCAGACTGCAAACTTAATGGTCTCTTCTGACTCCATGTTAAGATGTGCCCACTTCCCTGCTTCTTCTACATATTACATTTATCTGAGGGATAAGTCTACCCCTTCATCTAACAGCATGGTCAGAATGGCAGTCTAGATAAATGTCACTGCAATGTAATCTATCAAGTGGCCATAGCAGACAAAGATCAGCAAAATAACAGTTAATCTGGATACATTTAAGGTCCCTTTTCAACCACCCAATTATACCTAGACTGACATGCAAACAAGTAGATGTCTTAGACTTTACCCTGTACACTTACCATCCACGGGATTTTTTTTTACATTTAATGTCATGATCTGAAACGGTGAACTGCAATGGACTATACCAGCTTAACCTCTTGAGTTCACATGGCACCAATTGACTTAACTCACAGACAATACTCAGTTAACTGTATCCACTGCTAAGGGTACTTGCATGGTCCAAAACTGTAAAGGTTTAGGCTTCACCCTGCATTTCTGCCTGTCTTACTAGCATGTGATGCTGTAACTCTGCACTGAAATTTTATTTGGGATACATCTTTTTGAGACCCTATGTAGCAGTATTAAACTCATCTTGGTCCAACCTCTGCTTTTGCCTGAGTGGCTAATCCAACTACTTGGTAGCTCTTTAAAGCTCCAGATGCTTTTCTAGACATGCCCCAGAGGAACCATAGTAATATTCCTATTTAATATTCTATCCTGGGCCTGAATTCCCTAAAGGGCAACTGCTCCTTATAGAGCTGACTAAACTTCCACAAGAAGTCTGTAGTTCAATGCTGTATTTCAATCTTATTCTCCTGTATAACCTTGCGGTTCAGTAATATGATTGTTTGTTTCTATTAGGTGTATTACTCTGCAAATGTAGCAGTGAGTAGCTTTGTGTCAGCAGTGTTGCTGACTTTTGCTGTATTCCTCATGTCACTACTTGCAACATTTTCCTGGGGGAGAAATATTCTTATAAATGTAAGTACATGAACAGGTAACCTATACATTAAACATGGACTACTCAAAGTTTAAACTAATGCAGATTGGCTGCCCTGTTACTTAAATTTGCTTCATGCTACTGGCTTTGTTTTCTCCTTGGGTGTAACTTGGACCATCTTACACAACATGCTTCTGGTTAATGTATTTAAAATCTGAGTGGTATAACATGCAATGGCCTTAACAATAACTTCTTCACTAGTATCCTAGGTTCTTCTCATGTGGAACATTTTCAACAGAAGGACCAACACAACGACAGGTAATTTAAAGACAAAAAGGCACATCCTCCTCAAACTGGGGAAAATCTGCTTGTGAGGCAGTTTCTAGTCAGCAGATACAAACTTGGCTTTGCACAGATGGATCCACTGACCTTCTTTCCTTTGGGCAACTAAGTTGTCTTAATTGTTTTGGCCTTACATACAGTTCTAAATTTGGATTGGTAAGAAACCTGACACTTAATTCAGCCTCTTGAACCTGGAGAATTAGGAGCTTGGGTGAATGGTGGCAGTCATAGCTATTGAATTATAACTAAATGGCAGCTCTTTAAATACTTGGGAATAATGTAATAGCCTAACAAACTACACTTGAGCTAGACCTGAAGGCTGCTTGCACTGTGGTAACATGGCTAACAGCCATGTTAACACTAGTGTAGAGGAGTTCCCCTTGTGTGACGCTTGTGAGTGAGCATCTAACTCCGTTACATGGTCAACATGACTGTTTGCTGTAAATAACAGTAACTGGCAAGCTCATTACGGGTAGATCAATTTAGGGTTTCTTCAGATCCCACATCACTGGATGATGCCAGTCTGAAATGTCATGTGCCAACATTGATTCCATGGCTATTTAAAAAGTTGAACAAGATTAACCCATACTGTAAAATCTACACTGAAACATTTGCCTTTGCAGATAGATGAAACCTCTTTTAAAATCAAATTCATTGGTGAGGGCTGCAGTAAAGGCAAGGATGGACAGAAAGACATTCCAGATCTTAAAATCTGCACAGAAGTATCAGGGCCAGGTAAGTAACTTTCTGTTTGTGTATTTTTTTTGGTTTTTTTTTAACTTTCGGTTTGCACTACACCTCATGGTCACTCAAGCTAAATTACATGTGGAGAAACTAACCCTTTGTCTTTACTTTGTACCTGCAGAAGCTGCTTATGTGACTACTCCCATAGTAATTGTACAGGCTGCAATGACCATCTTCAAGGAGCCAGGTGCTCTACCAAAGGGGTAGGTATACAGCATTAGAGTCCCCATGATTACAGCAGTTTGTAGTCTCATGACAAACTTATTTCCTCAGTGACCCCCACTCTTTAGTCTTAAACTAGAATATAGGGAGTCTGGTATGGAACATGACAAACTGGCAGGATTGTGTCCTTGATGAACCAGAGGATGCCCTTAGATTGAGTAACTTGGAAGAAGCCCTTACAAACACTAGCCATAGATTAATGGGTCTCTGTGTAGGAATCTTTCACTAGTAAAAACTTCTGACGTTATTTAGGTGAGTTTCTAAAGGCTTGAGACTGAACATTTAATGTTTCCAAATGCATGGTGAGTGCAACTATTGCTCATCTAAGTGGGCACAATGCTGAATTAAACTATAATTCATTTAAATGGGGTATGGCAGGATTTGCCTAACTTATCCCCAAGGATTTCTATCTAGGTTTTGGAGTGCAGAGCCAAAATGCCTGTAGGGCAGCATGGCCAAACACCCTGTGAGCCCATGTCTGTGCATGATCTCTGGTTGAGAGGGACACTCAAGCAAGAAGATCAAAAGATCTCTGCTCAGCCCTGTGCCCCAGCTTTGTGGTATGCAGCTCACTAGGGGCTCCCTTACACATACCCCTTGGACTCCAGCAGTTTTAGTATCCATGGGTGGAGGGCCCAAAGCAATCATCACTGTGCAGTGATTACTTAATATCCTTGCAATGACTGAGGAACAGAGCTATAATACTGTAACGGTTTGATTTATGCAGAAAGACAAACTGGTGTATGCAAAGGAGGTGGTATAGAAAAGGCTAATAAAACAAAGATTGGGTAGGGTGAAATCGTGAGCACTTGCTATTAAACTGTTTCTAGATTTCTAACTTTTGTAGGGATTTATGTATTAAAATTTTTTTTTTTTTTTTTTTTATTTTTTTTTTTTCTCCCATCACCTTTCACTAGGGGTGGTGTACTCTCTCCTGGGGCAGCATTATCAAAAACAAGAATCATTGATCGTCTCAGGAAAGCAGGCCTTCACTTTGACATAAAAAATTAAACTGATATGCTGATGCAATATGTCTAACTGGAAATGACTCATGGCACAAATCTAAAAGTGTATCTGTTCTGATTGTATTTAATAAACTGTACTAACTGCAAGATATGGAGTGCTTTCTTACTTTAGAAGTAGTAGGGTTGCCATTTCTTCACCAGACTTCTAGCAGGCAGACTTGTGGCCCTGTGTGTAGGGAAATTAAAGTTTCTTCCTCAACCAGCTCATGGGGCAGAGCTAAAGATCTCATTAGCTGACCCCTGCAGGGCCTGTAATATTAAATAAAGTGAGTCTTCACCCAGACTGCCCTGATCCTGTGGGTTAGGAGGGAGCCAGAACATTAGATTGACAGGCAAGCGTTACAGCACTCTGACTACATGCACCAGCTCAAAGTGGCTGCCTGCACCCACTGGTTCATACTGCTGCTCTGACATGGATCAGCCACTCCTTATCCTCAAACTGTCTAATACTCTGCTTTCTTGGTTTTCCTACCTCTACCAGCACACGTTCAGTGGGGTTCCCCACCACTGTTTAATTTCTCCATGTCACCGAAGATCCTGTCCTTGGTCCCCTACTTCTCTTGAGCTGTACTGCCTTCCATGGTAAACAAATTGGCTCCTTTTGACTTCCAATATCCCTTCTGTGCAGATGACATGGCTGTCATGTCCTGATCTCACGGTCCTCTTTGATTTATTTTTTGCTCTTTTTGTAACTGGAGGGCTGAAGTTAACCTGTCAAACAGAACTCTTCTTTCCTCCCTGAAGCATTCCTACTCCAAGTCAGGGGCATTGCCATAGCTATACCTCACTGACTAGGTGTTCACTTTGCTTCCAACTTCTCCTTTACATCTTCAGTTAAGCATTAAATCCTGCCTTCAATCTAAATATAGCACACCTGCCCCTAAGATGATCCATGTTGGTATCCTCTAACTACTGCAATCTGCTTCTCAGTGGCCTTGAGGACTTCCAGCTTGCACTACTACAGTCTATAATGAATGTGGCAGCAAGGCTAGTCTTCCTGTCCACCTCCCCTGTTATGGCATTCACTGGCTTCCATTAAAATGTAGGTTCAACTTAAAACTCTACTTGTTTACATAATAACATACTACCTAGCCTCAAGACACAAGTCTGTCCCATCCAGGCCCCTACACTCTACTGGCAACCTGTCAGCTGTTTGTACCGCCACGTCCAAGACTTATCTAGGACTGCAAAAAAGTACAAAGTGCTCTGACCAAGGCGCATTTAAAAAAAAGTGCAACAAAGTTAATATAAGCAGCTACCACACAATATAGATACTCTCCACTCTATAGTAATGTAAAACAGCAGTGACATGTTAAAAACAAACGAATCGTAACAAGTGGTAAGCGCTAAATAAAAATAAGGCTTACTCTAGGAGGTTAAGCAACACAATCAGAATGATTGGACAGATTGGCTTTTGTATTTTCAGGTAGGGTTCAATTTCTAAAGTATATGGAGATGATATCCTCCTATGTATGGTGACAAAGGGGAGTAAAAATCTGGTGCATTAACTCTTAAAATACAAGTGTAAGTAAAAACCTTGAGGCTCCTATCTTAGGTGACCTGGCATCTAGTATAACAGCATGTATATCACTTAGAGGGGATACAGCCCTTCTTTAAGCAGCAACAATGTTGTATATGCCATGGGACGTTTCCAGATATGCAATTTTATTCAAATTAAAATTTAACATAGGCCTAAGATATACAAACATATCCACATGGTGTAGAATCCAAGACTTGTTTCGCCCATCCGTTCTGGCTTTCTCAATTGGTCAACTGCTACTGTATACAAATTTAAATACCACTCCAGTTAACCTGATTGGTTTAGCAACCAGCTAATACCTTCCCGAAGCCCCTGTTAACTGCTGCACATGAACTGCATCCACTCCCCCTTCCAGCCATAATGGAAAGAGGTAAGTGTGTGTGTGTACAAAACAGACAATAAAATAAGGGTGCGCCTAAAATATATAATAAAACTTATAAAATATATTACATAATTAAAAATATTGAGATAAAATAAGTGGTTGGCAATAGTCCAAAAAACTGATCAAAATCCGTAATGGTAGGTCCCACATGTGGAAAGGGAATTCATAGGATGTTGTATGGGATCAAGTCTTCACTGTTATATGCTTGAAATTCAGTGGAGCATATGTAGAGAGAAAAATAAAAACAGGACTCCAATGGCACAGTATATAGGTGAATGAAATGTAAAATGAAATTATTTACTGTGTTTAACTGTTCATAGAGACCAGCCTCATTATTACTTTCAAAAAGCTGTATGACACTATTATATAATGCAACAAAACGAGACAAGCATGTACACTTTGAGAGCCATCGAACTTCTGTGTGTAAAAGTAACCTAATAAACTGCTCGTTATTGTCCTGGCACAGCTGTCGAAACATTCCATCACCTTTGTAACTATGGAACCTTTGGCATTAGATTTGATCTTATCTACAGCTTTAATTATTATACTTAATGATGAATGGAGACTTGTACTTGTTTTCCTACAGTATGTTGTCTGTGCACAACACAATGAATACACAAAACTTTTGGCACTTCTTCAAGTAAGCAACAAACCCACGATAGCGGCCTACCATTGATGGTGCTCCATCAGTAACACATGCAACAATATTGTTCATGGGTATATTGTTTTTTGCAAAGTGTGATTCCACAGCATTAAATATTGATAATCCCTTTGTTTTGAATATTTTTATTCTCACAACATAAACGCGGATATCAAACATATTATTATTATTAAATCAAGTAGTCGCCTACACAGAGGCGTCTATATTGGTACATGGAAGTATACGCTGATATTCGCCTGCGCAGAGGCGTGTATATCAGATCATGATATAAAAATAAACTGTCTTCTATTTGGTTGCGTGCGTTTCGTGAAATATAAACTTATCGTGCTCAGTTATCAGCCTACGTTTGCCTACGCAGAGGCCTATTATGTCCGTAGTGTTATCATAACAGAATAACAAAATGGCGCCATCAGGTAGTAAAACCTATATACTGCGATAATATATATGACTGCACCCGGGTACATCCTATAATTATATAAATCCACCATCATTAACTGACGCCTGCAGATAATCTGATGGCGGCATGCGTCAACGAAGTGGCATGTTAAGAGGCAGGCATTGCGGCCCATATCTGTGTATGTTAACAGGTCTTAACTGTATAATTCTGTTAAGGAAACAGTAATACGTAACATTAACCTTAAGCCCAATGGGGCAATGTGACCGAACAACATGGTCGTATACTGAATTAATAAACGTAAATACATCAATTTCGGCATGGGCTATGGTTCGCCATTTTTAACAGCTGAATAGCTATTCCATGTGTGCATGCTGCTTGGGTTAAAGCCGTATTTATATAATGCTTTAAGTAAAGAAAGCATAGTCATGTCATTATAAACCATAAATACATCAACTTCTGCCTGGGCAATGGCATGCTATGCTCAACTTCTGGGTATCTATTCCGTGTGTGCTTGCTGCAAAAGTTAGGGCCATATAATTATATGTTGCGTTGAGTAAAGAAAGCATAAACATGACACAGGCAACAGAGCAACCAGACATTCAAGAAATTAGTAATTAGAGCCATGTAACAGCGCCTAATTTAGCCTTAGCAGGTAGGGCAGCTGTATTCTTAATAGGTTTAAAAAAGGTATTTAACATGAGTAAATAAAAAAATGAAAAGGCAGGCTTTTTATATTGCATTCAGCCATTCTGATATTGCTAATGGCAGGCAGTATACAGCTGTGAATTGCCTAGCCTGTGTTTATGTGCAGCTAAGGGCAACGCTACGTCTTAATCATAATTTATGGGCTTTTAGCTATGCAGTGGTATAATATTTATTCTCCTGACTGTGGCAGCTGGATTTGGTCCAACAAGTTAACGGCCAGTCGCTAGCATAAAGCGATATTTGCTAAGAAAGTGACCAACCAAGACGTGCTGAGAAGTAACCAGGTAATGTACGCAGGCTCGCTATCACATCATTTCTAACTTTAGCATGGGGATACTCATCCTATAGTGCCGCCTGGGATACTTCGTGCTTTGCTAAAGTGATAAGTGGAATTGGTGACAAATGAACTCAACAGTTATATGTACACAACATGCACATTAAACCGTGACATAAATGGATGGCTGTGCAACAGTTGATTTCTGGCTTAACAAACTTGATGCACGATGCATGTGTGCCCTGGAACCCAGGGCAAGGACCCTGGATGCGTTCAGCTGTATGCCTTTGGGGTGTAGCATGTTACGCAAGAAAATAATAAGGCGTGTCTTGATCCAAATCCTCTGAGGATAAAAAAAGTGAGTCACTTTGCTGGAGATGGCGTTTTAGCGTCCGGTGTGTGGAGACTGTCCGGCTTGGCTTTGTCATTTTCCTGGGTGGTATAGGCTTCCCTCTGACCAGGGCTGTATTTACCACAAGGCAAACAAGGCATTTGCCTAGGGCGGCACTTTCAGGGGTGGCACCAAAAAATGCCACCCTAAGCTCCCAGATAAATGCCTTGCTTGCCTTGTGTTCTGGGGCTGTCCACCTTACTGTGAGTGAGTGAGTGAGTGAGTGTAGCTGTCGATGTGTGTCTGTGAGTGAGTGAAAGTGTGTGTGTCTTTCAGTGAGAATGGGTGTGCCTGTGAGTGTATGTCAGTGTGTGTATGTCATTTTATGTGTATTGTAGAGTGTGTGCCTGTCAGTGAGTGGGTGTGTTAGTGTGTGTCTGTCAGTGAAAGTGTGTGTTGGTTAAACAGTGTGTGCCTATGACTGTATGTGTGTGCCAATGACTGTGTATCTGTCAGTGCGTGGATATCAGTACATGTATCAATGAGGGCATGTGTCTGTCAGTCAAAAAAGTGGCCTTGACACGAATTGAGGGGTCAATTTAGATTTTGTGGGTGCCCGAATTTAGTCGTGCCTAGGGCAGCACAAATCCAAAATACACCGCTGCTTCTGACATAACTGCTTTATAGGTTTAGGGTATAGATGATGGGCAGGTAGTCCACAAGCGAGTCCTCCCGGCGCCCCCATCGTGGCAAACTCCCCTCTGTTCCCCCCACAAGGCATGCTCCTGTCTGTCAGTGGGAGGCTCCACTGCACTGTGGGCACTCAGAGACAGTGGCAGTCCAACGGTCTCCCCCACCCCCCGAAAGTCCGCGGGTCACCTGCCCCCTGCACCTCCCTCGCCCTGCTCCGGTCTCATGCATGGCGCCGGTCAGCCGGGGGGGCTGCACACCCAGGCTCCACAGGGCTCACAGAGCTGGGGGCTATTTCCTCTGGACCCACCACCAAATCCAGGGGTTAGGGCCGGCTCCTCGCCTACCAGTTTGCTGCCCGGTGGGGTCCATCCGCAGGATTCTTCAACCCGGGGGGGGCCGAGGTGTCTCAGTGCAGTCCCCTGCAGCATGTTGGTCGGCCATCTTGTCTCTGTGCAGGAAAGGGCTTGTGCCGCGTGGGTCTCCTTCTCCAGAAGGTTGGACTCATTGGCCGGGATCACCCCCACCGGCCGGGGTGGGGAAGCGGGGCCGGGACGATATCCCCGTCTCTCCCGCTGTCACCTCGTTCCACTGCCTCCGCTTACCACGCGGGTGTAGGGGCCTCGTGGGTTTTCTGTGCTCCGGGTAGGCTGCCGGCGCGGCGTTTGACACACCGCTGTGCTCCTGGGTATTTCCCCATCTGGTGGCCTGTTGTGCCCCGGCTTTTGGTGGGGTCTCGTGTCTGCATTTTAAGGGTTTTTTGGTGGCTTAGAACCGGAGCCAGCATGAATGGTTGCCGCTCAGCTTGGTGGCCCGGCCCGGCCCCGCCCCCTTGATAATCCTTTTGTATCAGTAATCACACTGATAGTGAATGACATTAATTCTTGCAATGTATTGTTTTCATCGAGGGACCGTATATATGTCATCAGTAGAGCATTATTATCTGCAATGACAGACTCGTCCAGCTGTATGGAAAACAGGACCGGACTGGCCATCGGGCACACCGGGCAAATGCCTGGTGGGCTGCGGTGGCCATGGGCCGAGGCCGGCAGGGGAGGTCCCAGGATTTGGTCCTCTCCTGCCGGTCTATGCAGGGCCGGCACTATCCGAGCGCCGGCCCTGCAGCAGTCCACGGCGGGCCGGTGGGGAGATCAAAGATCTCCCTCACCGGCCCACATGCAGGATACTGCGGCCGCCGGCGGGGAGAGAGTGAGGGAGACAACCAGCCATGAGAGAGGACCCGGCGGAGCTCTATCTTGCAGCTCCGCCGGGTTCCTCTCGCGAGATCCGGAGCATTGCCACTAAGACCACCAGGGATGGATGGCAGCCCCAGCAGCAGGATCCCCCTCCCAGGCATAAGGTAAGCAGGGAGGGGGGATATAATCACCTAATTCACATCAACCTCACAGACACCCCTAACACTTACAGCACCCTCACACACACACTCACTGCACCCCTGACACTCACAGCACACACACACTGCACCCCTGACACTCATAGCACACACACACACTGCACCCCATGACACTTACAGCACACACACACTGCACCCCTAACACTCACAGCACCCTCACTCACATACAGACACATTGCACCCCTAACACTTACAGCACCCTCACACACTCACAGCACCCTCACTCACACACTCACATAAACTGCACCCCTGACACTCACAGCACACACACACACACACTGCACCCCTGACACTCACAGCACACACACACGCACACACGCACACACTGCACCCCTGACACTCAGAGCACACACACCCACTGCACCCCTAACACTTACAGCACCCTCACACACACACACACTGCACCCCTGACACTCACAGCACCCTAACTCACACACACACACTGCACCCCTAACACTTACAGCACCCTCACTCACTCACACACACACACACACACACACACACACTGCACCCCTGACACTCACAGCACACACACACTGCACCCTAACACTTACAGCACCCTCACACACACACACACACACACACACACACACTGCACCCCTGACACTCACAACACCCTCACTCACACACTCACAGAAACTGCACCTATGACACTCACAGCACCCTCACTCACACACACTGCACCCCTGACACTCACAGCACACTCACTCACACACTCACACACACTGCACCCCTGACACTCACAGCACCCTCACTGACACACTAACACACACTGCACCCCTGACACTTACAGCACACACTGCACCCCTGACACTCAATGCACCCTCACTCACACACACACTGCACCCCTGACACACACAGCACACACACACCGCACCCCTACACTCACAGCACCCTCACTGACACACTAACACACACTGCACCCCTGACACTTACAGCACACACTGCCTGACACTCAATGCACCCTCACTCACACACACACTGCACCCCTGACACACAGCACACACACACTGCACCCCTAACACTTACAGCACACACACACACACACTGCACCCCTGACACTCACAGCACACACACTGCACCCCTAACACTTACAGCACCCTCACATACACACACACACTGCACCCCTGACACTTAGACACACACACACACACACACTGCACCTGACACTCCACAGCACACACACACTGCACCTGACACAGCACACACTGCACCCCTGACACACCCTTCAGCACCCCTCACACACACACACTGCACCCCTGACACTCACAGCACCTCACTCACACACACACACTGCACCCCTGACACTCACAGCACCCTCACTCACACACACACTGCACCCCTGACACTCACAGCACACACACACACTGCACCCCTAACACTTACAGCACCCTCACACACACACACTGCACCCCTGACACTCACAGCACCCTTACTCACACACACACTGCACCCCTAACACTTACAGCACCCTCACACACTCACACACTGCACCCCTTACACTCACAGCACCCTCACTCACAGACGCACTGTGTGATGGGGCGTGCTTGTCATTGGTGATGACAAAACACACCCTAACTTTGTAGTGGGCCGCTGTAATTAAAAAATGCCTGGGCCGAATTTTCTTCCCAGTCCGGCCCTGATGGAAAATGAAGAAATTTGGAGAATACCTATAAGTTTATTTTCAACATTAGCTGCCATTTCGTCAATGCGTCTATTTACTGTGTTATCATTAAGGGGCAATGTTTTTAAAACTTCAGGTATATCCTGATGCATTACTGTTGAGATAAATAGAGGGTATTATCAAAGTTTCTCCAATATTATGGCTTTTACCACTTTTGCAAGTGTGATATACGATAAACTGCAGTTAATCCATCCTCATTCTTTGCATGTTGTTTTTGAAATGATGTAGCTATTGTTGAACGATTTTGAAATCTTTTATAGATTTCTTGAAAATATTCAATGGGCTTATCTTTATCTTGTGAATGCTTTGTAGCAAGATGTTCTCGCAATTGACTTGGCTTCATTGCTTCATTAGATAATGTCTTGTGGCACAGTAAACACATTGGAAGCTGTTTATTTGTAACAGATTTAATGAAACCCATTTTCAGATACTCTGTAAAAAAGAAATATGCTTGTGGCTATTTAACAGTCATGGGTTCTAAATTTGTTGCACAATTTAACTACTACTTTTACTATTACCACATTTTGGTCTGCACTCCAAAGTTTTTGGTATCCACCACTCCTGATATTACATTTACTCTCTTTGTCATATTTAAGTTCTAATAGTTCTTCTTGGCAAGTTTCATCAACCTCAGCAACATATGCTGTAAAAGGACTTACCCAGTCATGCACCTTTAAGTTCAAAATATCTTTAATTCGTTTTTCCATATCCAATTTTAGTTACATCATCTTTTATAGATGACAATTCATGAAACTGATGAAATTCTCTCTTGAAAATATTATGACGGAGAAGATCAAGCTTTTCGATAAATAATGACACAATATTTTTGCAACTTATAAGAGTTATATTGGCTCCTTGAAGCTGCAAATTAATTTAATTAAATCTCTTGAAAATGTCAGCCAAATAAAAGGCATAATTCTTTTGGTAAATTTCTTTTATTCAGTATTTTAAAATTTATAAGAGACTGTCGGTGTGGACACGCAGGTCCAGCAGTGATTTGTTTCAATTACTTCTCAAACATATAGTAGGTTCAAAGAGCAACAGTGGTGACGTGCAAGTCACCCAGTAACAATAAGAAACAATTTCTAGTTGGACTCGCAGGTCCTATAACGTGTGTGTTTGGATAGGCTGGTCCCCTTATTTTTTAGTTGCTATAGCCATTCTGGGTCACCTATTGTGGCAAGGGTGATTCGTATCCTGTTTCAAGACTATTAGCGTGTAGCTCCCTGCCGAGTGGGGGATGTCAGGATGATGTTCATGCCCTGTAGGTTCAGACCTAAGGTCTTCACTGTCAGTGGTGTTATCCTCTGCTATTCTGGCTTGGGTAGTGGTTGTTTATTCTATCTTGGCCGTGTCTGCCATCTGACTCCTATCCTTTCGTGGGTGCAGTGTTGGTCCTGCTTCTCCCTTTCCCATGTCTAACAGTGAACCCCTCTCTTGTTTCTTATTTTAGGGGGTGCCCATCCGCCTAGGGTCTCTATGTCCCTCCATCCTCTCTACCGTGTTGCCTCTCTGCCCGGGGGAGGGGGGAAGGGGGAAGGGGAGGAGGAGGGGGGGAGTGAAGGGGGGAAGGGGGTAGTATATTTATTTATTTATTTATTTTGTTTGTTTGTTCGTTCTCTGGTCTTGTTAGTCTTTTGTCTCGTCTGTTGTCCTCAGTCAGGTCAACAAGTCCTGGAAGTCTGCGCTAGCCGTGGTCAGAATCCAGTGCGTCCAGATCGTCATATACGTCTGAGTCCTCCCCTCTGCCAGCAGGGAGAGCTCTTCCAGTGCTCTCAGCTCCTCCATTCGTTGGTACCACGTCCCTAAAGGGGGTGCGCTTTGTTTTTTCCAGTAGAGAGGGATTAGGCTTTTGGCCACGTTAAGTATTCGGATAGTTAAGGATTTTTTGTAGGTTGATGTTTTTGTCATGGTGTGGTGGATGAGAAATGTTGCAGGGTTCATGGGTGGCGGGGTGTCTGTGAATTTTTTTATGATCATGTGGATGGCTGACCAGTATGGTTGGATAATTGGGCATTCCCACCATATGTGGATGTATGTACCCGTGTGTGTGGTGCATCTCCAGCATGCGTCCTCCGTCGTGGGGTCGTATAGGTGCGTATGGAGTGGGGTGCGGTACCAGAGGGCTAGGATTTTGTATGCTGTTTCTTGTGTTCCACTGGAAGGTGCGCAGTGAAGTGAGAGGGTGCATATTTTGTCCCATTGGTTGGGTGTGAATGTGGTGTCTAGAACTTTTTCCCATTTCCCCATGAAGCCTGGGGGTGGTAGTCTCCTCATCAGCATGATCATGCCATAGAGCGCTGATAGGCCCCTCACCATCGGGACTGGGTCCATGCAGATCTCTTCAAACGCTGTTAGGGGTCTGAGGGTGTGATTGTTTTGAGTGGTCTCTTGTATGAACCCTTTCAGTTGTCGGTATCTGAATTGTAGCATGAATGAGTGATTGGAGTTCCCCGTCATGGCCTCTAGTTTTTTGATACGGCCGTTGTCCGTGGCGTGGCAGAGCCTCGGTGTTTCGTGTCCCAGTAGTTGAACCAACGTCTTCGGTTCCCTTCCTGGTGGGAAGGCCTCATTATGGGCCAGGGGCAGCATTGGGGACGGTGTGGTGGTGAGTGAGAGTGGTGCGGCCATTGCTTGCCACACCTTCATGGTTGCTTTAATTAGGGGGTGTGGGGCTGCAAGTTGTCTGCCTTGTTGGAGGTCCAGCCAGGGGAGGACCGCTATCGGTCTCCCCACTTATGCTGACTCCACATCTTTCCAGAGTTTCATTACCCCCTGTTTGGTCCACTCCACTATGCTTTGGATGTGTGTGGCCCTATGATATCTCTTAAAATCTGTCAGGGCAAGGCCTTCCTTGGCCTTCGGCAGTGTGAGCACGTCATGTTTTATCCTAGCCTTCTACCTCTTCCAGGTAAACCTAAGGGCCATTGATCTGAGGGAGGTGAAAAGGGCCTCCTGGATGGCCGTGGGGATGGCCTGGAACAAGTAAAGAACCCTCGGTAGGATGTTCATCCACTCTTCCAAACCACGAAAGGCGGACTTCCTCCCATTCCTGTAGGTCTTTCTGTATGGTATTCAGCAGCGGTTGGAAGTTAGCCGCGTATAATTGGGAAAGGTCTTTCGTTAGCACCGCGCCGAGGTATTTCAGGAAGGCGTCGGACCATTGAAACGGCAGTTCCCGCTTGAGGGCCGACGCTCTGGGTCCCGGGACGGAGACCTTGAGGATCGTGGATTTGGAGAAGTTGATTTTAAAGTTCGACAGCTCCCCGTATGTTTCAAACTCCTCCATTATCACAGGCATGGATGTTTCCGGCTTAGTTACAAAGAACATTAGATCGTCCGCGTATGCTGCCACTGAGTGTTTCCCCCTTCCTGCCTTTAACCCCAGGATACCCGGATTGTTTCGGATCAAATTCAGGAATGGTTCCAGGGCCAGCACAAAGAGCAGGGGGGAGAGGGGGCAGCCCTGCCTGGTCCCATTTCTTATCGAAAAGGGGTCGGTGAAGGCCCCATTTATGCAGATCCGTGCTGTTGGCTGCGAATACAGTGCTCTGATCCAGGACATCATGAATGGCCCCGTCCCCAGCGTTTCAAGGACCTGGAACATAAAGTCCCATGCGATCCTGTCTCCGCGTCCGTAGAGAGCAGGAGAAGGCCCTCCTGTCTGGTTGTTGCGGTGTGGATAAGGGAAAGCACTCTGATCGTGTTGTCTTGTGCTTCCTGGTGTGGAGTAAATCCCACTTGGTCCCCATGCAACAATTTCGGGAGGTAGGCCTGTAGTCTCTGTGCAAGGATCTTGGTGAACAGCTTCAGGTCGCAATTTAGTAGTGATGTTGGGCGGTAGTTCACACAATGCTCAGGATCTTTCCCCTTCTTTGGGTATCAGGGTGATGTTGGCCAGCAGAGTCTGCGTCGGGAACTGCTGCCCTTCACGGATCGCTTTAAGTGTCGTCGTGAGGCGTGGGATGAGGAGCTCCGCAAAGGTTTTGTAGTTGCGTGTTGGTAGGCCGTCTGGCCCGGGGCTCTTGCCAGTCTTGGCTGTTTTAAGAGCCCACACCACTTCGTGTGTTGCGATTGGTTCGTCCAACTCTGCACTTGCCTCCTGTGTGAGGCGGCTGCCAATGCGCGGTTCTAGGTATTTTGTTATCCTTGTCTTTCTAACTGCCATGTCCCCCTCTCTCCTGTGTGGGTCGAGCGAGTATAGGTCCGCGTAGTATGTCCGAATAGCGTGAGCCATCTCGGCCAGCATGCTGTGTAACCTCCCGTCTCTGTCCCTAATCCTGGGGATGTAGGCCGCCGCTCTCTTTTTGGCGATCATGCGGGCAAGGAGGGCACCACATTTGTTAGCGTTAGTGTGGAAGAATGCTTTGGAATGTAGGTAGGCTCTATGGTGATTAGCATTTAGTATGGAGGAAAGTTCCCTCCGGAGTTCCGTCAGTTGTGTCCAGTCTGCTGGCAGGTGGGTTTGTTTGTGTCTGTGTTCCAATGTCTGTATGTCCGCTATTAGGGTTTTTAAGTCTGGCGGTTTTAGCTTTTTTAAGTGCGACACCTTTCGCTATGAAGTGGCCCCTCATTACGCTTTTATGAGCCTCCCAGAGGCAGAGAGGCGTGACATCAGACGTATCGTTTTCCGTAAAGTATAGTGTCATTTTTTCCGTAGCTTCTGCTGTCACTGCTAGGTCGTTTAGTAGAGATTTGTTAAGTCTCCAATTGCTGTATGTGGGCCTGTAGAGTGGGGAGGTCAGTGTCATCATGATTGGGGCGTGATTGGACCATATCGCTGTTCCAATGTCAGTTCGTCGAATATCGGTCAGGTAGTAATGTGGGATGAGGAAGTAGTCTATTCTGGAGTACGTTTTGTTGGGGATAGAATAAAAAGTATAGTCACGGTCTTCGGGATGTAGTGCTCTCCAGCAATCTACCAGTCGCCTCTCTTTCAGCGCTTTCGCTATGTTAGTTAAAATGTGTTGGGGAGTCGTGGAGAACCCCATGGAAGTGTCTATGGTCGGTGTCAGGGCCACATTTAGGTCCCCTGCTCTGAGTGCTGTGCGCAGGAATTGGTGTTGGCGGTTTATTGAGGGCATATAAGTTTGCGAACGTGTATGTGCGGTTTGCAATTGTTCCTTTAACACAGATATATCGTCCGTGGTTGTCCCGTAGTGTGTCAGTGGGGGCAAAATGTAGCGACCTGTGGATCAATATTGCCGTACCTTTGGACTTCCTCTCTGGGTTATTGCTAAGAAAACACTGTGCGTAGTGTCTGTCCATCAGTCTGGGCACATGGCCCTCCTTAAAGTGTGTTTCTTGGATAAAAACTACGTGTGACTTCTGGCTATGAAAGTGGCGTAGAGCATGCGAGCATTTTTGGGGTATGTTCATGCCTTTAGCGTTAATGGAGAGAAATGTAATCTCTGCTTGTTTGTGGGTATTATGAGGTGGCATGGTTGTCACGTTTCTAAATTATTAGGATTTAGTGGGTAGGGTTGGGGAGTACGGGTGGGGGAAAAAGGCTTTTGCGTACGTTTCGGGGGCGGGTCTACGGTCACAGGATTGTCCCCTGTCCCCGTGGGCCCCGCGGGCAAAAGCGACCTTCAGCAGTAAATAACAAATGCAACAGTAACAATCAACAATAAACCTTGATAATTATCCAAAAAAGACTAGGGTGTGGGCTAGGTAGGAGTCGACCTCGCCGCACCGGTCGGCACAGTCGAGTCCCCCCGCCGTTATTTGTATGCCCATGTCTACTAGGAGCGTGGCCCCTTTTCCCTTTCACCCCAAAGGGCCAAGTGTGGTAGGTCCGTCTACTGTCTGGGTCTCCTGTTTCCCCCGGCCCCCCCGCCATGAAGCTATCCAGCCAGCACAGGTGGTGTTGGCAGTCCATGGACCAACCTCTAGTCGCCTCCCCGTCTCCTAAGTGTGTGTCAAGGCATGTGATCTTTGATTCGGCCCTTCCCTGCCCGCTTCTCCCCTTTGCCCCTCTACCTCTCCGTTGGGTTATGATGTGTTGACGTGAGTGGCCTCGTAAGCTGGTGATTTTGAGTTATGTGCCTATATGACCTCACACTTCCCACTCTGTGTCCCCCCCTCCTATCCTGAAACTCGGGGATTCCGGTTGGTGTTGTCCTGCTGGGTGAGGGTCCGTGGTTGGGGGCCCTTCCTCTAGTTCTAACCTGGGCTACCCAGGCTGTCGCTCACTGGTGACCTACCCAGGTTCTCGCTGCCCTCTTTCCCTGATATTCTGGGGTGTGCTTTTGACCATTCTCAACGTCCCCTCCCCCCTCCCCCTGCTCCTCCCACCCAAGCAGGTATCCCGGTAAACACTTAGTCCCCAGTGTGTCTTTCGTGGATTCACAGAGTGTACGAGCAGGTTGTCCCGTATGCCCGCTCCTGTTTGTCCCCCTTCCCTCCCCTGATGCGTAGATCTCTATGCAGTGTAGTGATTAAGAGTGTGGCCCGTGTGTGTTTGGGGCCTGCGTTCAAGGTGTCCCAGTGCATAGTTATGAGTTCCACGCGTGGCTCCCAAACTGTTGGACTGCTTCATGTGTCCGTTAGCGCGTTGCCCCAGCTGACCTCACGGTCTCCAACCTTGATCGGTTTCTGTGCTGTGCTTGGAAAGGTTCCCCTTGTTGAGTAGGTGGGCTGTTATAAAAGTCCAGTGGATCTGGACAGTTCAGATTAAGAGGTGGCAGCTGGAGTTCTTCTGACAGCTCCTGCAAAGTCCCGTGGGGTGCGGATCGGTCTAGGGCCGCTTTGGGTGATGGCTATCAAGCCCGTAGGGAAGGTCCAGCGGTATCGTATTTTCTGGGCCACTAGCATTCTGGTGAGTGGTTTTAGTGCTCTGCGATGCCCGGGCATAGGTCAGGGTAAAGTTGGAGGTGTTGGCCTTCATGGGTGATTTCTCCTCTCTTGCGGGCTTCATGTAGGATTTCTTCCTTTTGGGCGTATAGTGCTAGGCAGCAGATCACGTCCCTAGGCAGTGCCTCTGGTGGACCCCTGGGTCTCAGTGCTCTGTGGGCTCTGACGAACTCTATGGGGGTCTCCCTGGGGCGGCTCAGGAGATCGTTGAAGATGGCCGTGAGTATGCCTTTAAGCTGGACGGGTGTGTCTTCACCTTCTTGTAGGCCTCTTATTCGTAGGTTTTGTCTGCGGCCCCTATTATCTAAATCTTCTATATGTCTGGCCATGGCTTGCATTTGGGCGGTTTGCCTTGAGTGGCTTGCAGCTTGGGCTGCTTGCGCTGCACTAAGGGAATCATGATCTGCCTCTATTTGGGCCATGCGGTCTGCCATACCTTGGATGTCAGCCCTCATCAACTGAAGGTCCACCTTGATGGAGGTCAGGAGGGCTGTGGTAGTCTGGGTGAGGTCAGCCCGTGTGGGTAGTGCCCTTAGCAGGGTCAGCCTGTCTGCCGGTGGAATCTCCCCTTGATCATCACGGCCTGGTGAGAGGGAGTGTGGCGTGGAGGCTTCTGATGGCGGGTAGGCCTCAGATGACGCCTGGGAGGTCGGGTCCGTTGTCGCGGCCAGGAACTGCGGCATGGAGGTGTTATTACTCGCCTGGCGGGACCCAGATGGTCTGGGGGTGCTCCCCGCCTTGGCGTGCTTCCCCATCTCTGTGTCTGTGGCCGGTAATGTGTGCTTAGCAGAGTGGGGCCGGAGGAGCTCAGCTACTATGCTGCCATTCCGTTCCGCCGCTAGGCCACGCCCTCGAGGCATAATTCTTTACTGTGTTTAACTGTTTCTAGAGACCAGCCTCATTATTACTTTCAAAAAGCTGTATAACACTATTATATAATGCAACAAAACGAGACAAGCATGTACCCTTTGAGAGTCATCGAACTTCTGTGTGTAAAAGTAACCTAATAAACTGCTTCTTATTGTCCTGGCACAGCTGTCGAAACATTCTATCACCTTTGTAACTATGTAACCTTTGGCATTAGATTTTATCTTATTTACAGCTTTAATTATTATACTTAATGATGAATGGAGACTTGTACTTAAATGTTTTCCTACAATATGTTGTCTGTGCACAACACAATAAATACACAAAACTTTTGGCACTTCTTCCTTCAAGTAAGCAACAAATCCACGATAGCGGCCTACCATTGATGGTGCTCCATCAGTAACACATGCAACAATATTTTTCAAGGGTATATTATTTTTTGCAAAGTATGATTCCACAGCATTAAATATTGATAATACTTTTGTATCTGTAATCAGATTGATAGTAAATAGCATTTCTTCTTGCAATGTATTGTTTTCATCAAGGTACCGTATATATATCATCAGTAGAGCATTGTTATCTGCAATGACAGACTCGTCCAACTGTACGGAAAATGAAGAATTTTGGAGAACACCTATAAGTTTATTTTCAACATTAGCTGCCATTTCGTCAATGCGTCTCTTTACTGTGTTATCACTAAGGGGCAATGTTTTTAAAACTTCAGGTATATCCTGATGCATTACTGTTGAGATAAATTCTTTGATACAGAGTATTATCAGTTTCTCCAATATTATGGCTTTACCACTTTTTGCAATTAAGTGTGATATACGATAAGCTGTAGTTAATCCATCCTCATTCTTTCCATGTTGTTTTTGAAATGATGCAGCTATTGTT